TTAACAACTCATTTAATTACCTACAAAATTTTAGCACTTTGTATTTATCGTGCGGCCAAATACTTATATTTAGATGATTTGATCAAGTATTATTAGGGCGCACAACGAATAGACTAGACACAAAAGATTCGGAACAACATAGCAGATTAAGTGTGGATCGGCAATTGATTGCAAAACGCTTTTTGTGACATTAATGCTATGAAATTCTACAAATAATTTCTATCGTTTCTTATAATATTAACTTGGCTTTAGGGCAGGATGCCATGAAACTGTAATTTTTATTAGAAGATGTACGCTGCATGTTTACTAGTAATTATTGTAGACATGTACCTTTTTTTTTTTTTTTTGCTAGTAATTTATAGGAGAAAATTATTAATCTTATCTTGTATGCTTTTGGACTTTAACCTTTTACTCTTAATTAATATTTTTTTTTACTAATATAGTTATTATAATTCAGTATGCAGCTCTAGGTAATAAAAAAACTTCAAGATCGTGTTCTTCCAGAATTTGGCTATCTTTAAATTTGGAACGACCAACTACTGAGAATGAATTAGTGAACAACTTATAGGATAAGATGTTAATTAAGTGAATATCTCGAAAGGCCAACCTCCTACATGCCGCTATGAGATATAATTAAATTAAAAAGATGCATCATATTACAATATACCAATCTGAATAATATTATGTACATTAAAAATATGCGTCGTATAATTGGCATATCAATCTCATTGCATGGCATTTTCTCTTTACAGCATCAAAGATAGAATAATCATATGCGTATATGTTTATATACTAGAACCATTTGCATAATATGCAAGTACATATCAATTAACATATATATATATATATATATATGCACACACACATATATATATATATACATATATGTGTAATATTTATATGTGCGTATAATCTAGTGGATTGATAGGGAGAATATTGCATGCATGTGCTGAGACGTATATATAAATATATTAGTTTCATGTATAATCCTACAACTCTCAAAGATCTTTAAACTTGAACCAAACTAGATTTTACACAATATAGTTTAAGTTGACAGCTCATGTAATGGTTTTTATAAATTAGAAGTTGGACCAAAGAGGGGCTGATTTGGGTGGCTAACAAGCTAGCTTGGGGGCCACTTTGTGTACTCGCTAGCACATGGCTAGCTAACTGGTAGGAAGTCACATTATTAACTTTTTGTGCACTATCTTATATGCTTCATTATATCCAAAACTTTTTTATCGATTGATTTTACAACCCCTATACATGATAGCTAGCTAGTTTGCTAAATGATCATCACTTTCAAGATTGAAGTACACAACACATAGTTTTATTTAATAGCAAAATTATAGTTGGCATTTTACAAACAAGAAACTATATATGTATAACTAAATTGGAATTTAGATTGATAATTTACTGCTATCATGGATCTGTTAACATGTTAAAAATTGATGGGGATATATACAATTCTAGACATCGATCCTTCCCACGTATTCAATAGAGTTTGAGAATGTATCACGAGATTTTTATTATCAATTAAATTAATTAACGATCAAACATTAGTATTCTTATATATATGTTATTCCTTTTCTATATGCTTTCATCGTTGCCATGGTGCGCACAATAGTAGTGGCCGATTGAGGAAGTTGGGTGTTAATGCTCAGTTGCTTATATTTGTCAACAAAGTATTCTCTCTCTCTCTCTCTCTCTCTCTCTCTCTCTCTCTCTCGCTATATATGTGTATATATATATTACAAATTAAGCACATAAACCTTTAAGCAAAGGACACATGGATTCATCGGGAAATAAAAGGGATGTGAGATTATTCTAAAGTGAACAGAGAGCAACGCTAGGAAACATTTTAAAAACAAAAAGAGCATTTGACACTATCTATTCCAAAGAAAAACTATAAATTGGAAGTTAATTAACACATTAATAACACTCAGTGTTGTTCTAGAGTCATCCGTGACAATTCCATGACACTAGAATGTTTAAGTTAATTTATAGATTAATTTAAAATAATATACAGAAGAGAGGTATAGAAGGGGGGCCCATATAGATGCCCATATGTTGGACTCTTATTGGCGGAAGATAGCCATACGGACAGTTTGATTTGTTTAAGGCAGATATGATCTTCATTTAAGAGATTTGCTAACAAAAGGTGACAACAAAAAACAGATTGTATACAATGCTGTTTTATCTTGACACACCCAATTCTCACTTGCAATGAACCGAGTACACAACAAAGATATTTCTAAAATGGAGCTTTTTTAAAAATGAATCGCGCGCTTTAAGCTTTTCTTTAATTTTTTTCTTGCCTTTCTTCTTTATATATATATATATATATATATATTATTTTTGATTTTTCGGGGAAGCCTACCGGGTACTTTTCAACATAAAAATCATCTTTTTCCTTCCTCTTTAGATCCTATGAAGATTTTCACGTGAAACTCATGAAACAAAATAGTGAGTCTTTTTAAGGTAGGACGTTGAGCAAGCTATGGTCTTATCTGTGTTTATATCCTATCCATTTTTCATCTTTTATCACTCCTTGTTGAAAACTGAGTAAGATACCAACCTATGATCAATTCTTTTATCAACACTAGTCTACAATTTTAGTTTCAACAATGACGTAGTATAGTTTCTTTAAATTTATGTATTTTTTTTTCCTTAGCTGATATATTTGAGTGTGAGATGGATTCTCTTTCATTATTTATTTTAGAAAAAAAAAAAAAAAAAAACCTATACTGAAAGTTGAGGAACAAAAAATATCTCACTTGTTTATGTTATTCCCTTGGTGATGATTTTTTTCCCCCGTTTCTTTTTCGCTTTTGTTATGAGAAACCATGAAGAAGAACAAAGTAATAAAGCCAAAAGAATATATACATATATATAATTAATTCTAATCAAGAGATAGCATTATTCAATATTCTCTAGTACACTTTAGATATTCTCTCCAACCGTGAACATTAAATCCCAATTAGAAAGGTGAATGGAAGAGACAAAGATATATACCACCATGGCCATATCCATCATTTTCATCCTTCTTTGTCTTGGGGTGGTCCTTGACAATGCCTCCAATTCCTTTGATTAAGGACCGGAACCAAAAACCAAACAGGATTTAGTCACTACAATACAAAATGGCACACTCCATTATCCTCACATTCCCACAACGGGCATTAATGCCATCATCTTTCATAGTGACTGCAACAAATATGCAATTAAATTCTTCTTCTTTTGCGTAGATTGATCACTTGATGGGGGACCTCCAACTAAGACGTTCATTGGAGTTTTATCTTTTTCTACGCATCAAAATGTTTTATTTGATTGTTTTTTTCTTTTTTTTTTTTTTTGCTTGGATTATTGTCATTCTTGATGTAATAGACTGAAATATTACTCCATAGGTCATCAATTATATTAATATCTATGCATATTATAGATAAGCCCCCACTATTAATTAGTTGATAGTTTAACAAATGAGTGCTTCATACTAATGGCATGATCGTAATATAAACAAATAGATGTTGGAGAGTTTAATTAATTCATTTTTTGAGAGTGCTCATTAATCCTGGTGCAAACTAAATTTCATATGATTAGTACTATATTCACAAGCTGATGTCACAACTTTGTAACAACTTAAGAATTTGAACATGATATACATACTTTTCAACAAAGAAAACAACAATGGTATGTATAGATATAGCTCAGGTAATTGGCGACTGTAATTTTAATCTTGAATATTAGTAGTTTGGAAGTCTGCTAATTAGTATTGTTCAAGATGACTAGATTCTAATAGGTAGCTCTGATCATGACTAGATATGGGATAATAGATACAAGGACAATTGACAATTTGACATGATTGGAACAAACAATAACTTTACGGACGAAGAGAAGCTAATAATAATTTAGTTAATTAATCAAGTGATGGGCTACTTAAACCGAAATTTATACAAATTAGGTAATGGGGTCAGAAATGTGGTAGTAGAATAAGTGGGGCCATATGTATTGGATGATGATAGAGAACAGCCCACTTTATAGTCCCATAGAAATTAGAAAGGGCCGTTTACAGTGAGACTCATGTCATGTGTCCGTCCATGAGGACCATGCATGATGACAATATGAGAGAGAGAGAGAGAGAGAGAGAGAGAGAGAGAGAGAGTTTGGTGTTTGTATATGGATGGTATGTGTGTAGGAGGGAGAGCGTGTGGGGCAAGTGACGTGACCAAGATTTCGTGGTTGAAAGACAGTAGAAGACGGCCACGTGGGTGGGGTGATCACTGATCTCACTCCCATGAAATGAATTGAAAGACAGAAGAGGGACGAACGCGGAGAGCATGGATTAATAATAAACCCCACCAATTAGAGTGTGCCTCACTAATACGTTATTTTCATCCTCCTTTTCTTTAGTATGTCAAACACACGCTATCTCTCCCTCCATTTCTTTAGCCACTCATTGGTCCCTAATTCTAGGACCCCCCTTTCCCTAATTCTAATCTCTAATCATATTTAGGAAGAAAAAAAAAATTTATTTTCAACTGTTAAAATCTGCATCTCGTTTTTATATTTTTTTAATATGATTTTAACCGGATCAAATATTTAAAATATGCATCACGTTTTTATTTTTTTAATATGATTTTAACCGAATCGAACATTTAAAATTTGCATAAGGTTTTTTATATTTTTTTTAATATAATTTTAACCGGATGGAACATTTAGGATTAACATACATTATGGAAAGAGTATGATTATCGTAGAGACAAAGAATGGTATGTTACTATATGTTATGTATGTATGTCTGCCACAACCGATGTACATAAATTTAGGAGGGCCTTCCGGCTCATTGAATTTTGTATATGTCAATAATCCCCCCAAGTTCCCTTTCCACAAATCCACCACGTGGTCTTCTCTTAGGTGTCTGAGGTGGACCTCCTTTCTAAAAACAAACACTTCTTTTCACCACCCTCTCCCAACTCTATTTATACCCCATTTCCTCTCCCTCTTTCTCTCCAAAACTCAGACTCTCTCTCTTCTCATTTTAAGGAGTCAAACAAAAAGAAACATTTCTCACAAAGGCTGAAACACTCTTCACAACCCAACCATGGCTTCCTCTTTTTTGGCACCCAACTCCAGCAGTTGGGTTGGAGTCCAATTGACACACTCTTCTCCCCCTTCCTCATCTTCATCATTAACGGACTTGGGCTTCTCATCAAAGTCCACCATCTCCGTCAAGAACAAGCCCAATAGTACTAGTAGTACTACTCGCTGCGCTCTTCACTCTCCTTCTGTACTTCATTTCCCCAAACAACCCTACAATCAGCCGGTAATTACGAAAGAGCCCAAGAAAACTCACCACCACCAACCCCCACAGTGGAACTTCCTACAGAGAGCCGCCGCCATGGCACTCGACGCGGCCGAGACCGCGTTGATCTCACGCGAGCGCCTACACCCTCTCCCTAAAACGGCCGATCCACGTGTTCAAATCTCTGGAAACTTCGCTCCCGTCCCCGAACAGCCCGTTCACCATAACTTACCCGTGACTGGCACAATCCCCGACTGCATTAACGGCGTCTATCTCCGAAACGGCGCCAACCCACTCTTCGAGCCGGTTGCCGGTCACCACTTCTTTGACGGCGACGGTATGGTCCACGCCGTTAAAATTAACGCCGGCTCGGCCAGCTATGCTTGCCGGTTCACGGAAACCCAACGGCTGGTTCAGGAAAGAGAGCTTGGCCGGCCGGTTTTCCCCAAAGCGATCGGCGAGCTCCACGGACATTCCGGTATTGCCCGTCTTCTCCTGTTCTACGCCCGAGGGCTTTTTGGTCTTCTCGACCACAGCCAGGGAACCGGCGTCGCCAACGCCGGTCTGGTCTACTTTAATGGCCGCTTGCTAGCCATGTCGGAGGACGACATTCCGTACCAGGTACGGATAACGGATTCCGGCGACCTCGAAACAGTCGGCCGTTACGATTTCAACGACCAGCTTAAATCCACCATGATCGCTCACCCGAAGGTCGACCCTGTTTCCGGCGAGCTCTTTTCTCTGAGCTACGACGTCGTTTTGAAGCCGTACTTGAAGTACTTCAAATTCTCTCCCAATGGGGATAAATCTCCCGACGTGGAGATTCCTCTTGATGTTCCAACAATGATGCACGACTTCGCGATTACCGAGAATTTTGTCGTGATTCCCGATCAGCAAGTGGTGTTCAAGTTGGAGGAGATGGTGAGAGGCGGTTCTCCGGTGATTTACGATTCCAAGAAGAAGTCACGGTTCGGGATTTTGCCGAAGAATTCGCAGAACGCTTCGGATATTCTGTGGGTCGAATCGCCGGATACTTTTTGCTTTCATTTATGGAATGCTTGGGAGGAGCCAGAGACGGAGGAGGTGGTGGTGATCGGGTCGTGCATGACACCTGCCGACTCGATCTTCAACGAATGCGATGAGAGCCTTAAGAGCGTTTTGTCGGAAATTAGGCTTAATTTGAGGACTGGAGAGTCCACGCGCCGCCCCATTATCTCGGAAGAATCGGAGCAGGTGAATTTGGAGGCCGGGATGGTGAACCGAAACCGGCTCGGGCGGAAAACACGGTTCGCCTATCTCGCCATTGCCGAGCCGTGGCCGAAGGTCTCTGGCTTCGCGAAGGTCGATCTTCGCACCGGAGAGGTAAGGAAGTACTTTTACGGCAACCGGAGATATGGCGGGGAGCCGTTCTTTCTCCCTAGGGATCCGAATTCGGAGAAGGAAGACGACGGTCACGTCATGGCGTTCGTTCACGACGAGAGGACGGGGAAATCGGAGATGCAGATTGTGAACGCTGTGGATTTGGAGTTGGAGGCATCCGTGAAGCTCCCTTCTAGGGTGCCGTACGGTTTTCATGGAACTTTTGTGGACTCAAAGGACTTGGTTCACCAGGCATGAATAATATGAATATGATAGTGGTTTTTTGGCACTGGTAAAAAAAAAAAAAATAACAATAATAAAAGGAAAAGAAAAGGCAAAAGGAGAATATTTACAAGAGGGATATTACACTAGAACAGGTCCCCGGGTTCTCCTAGGAGATTTTGAAAAACCCTAACAATCATTTTGTTTTTGTTAGGTTTTTTGTATGATCATGATTTTACTATAATGTACTGTACTAGAAGGGGGAGTTTTGAGAGGTCAGCTTGTAGCTTTTAGACAGTAGATAGAGGTTAAGCTCAGCTGGTTTCTGTTTATTCCCTCAGTGTTAATTTTATTCTTTTTACTCATGTGCTATACATATACACCACCTTGTCTCATATCTTTTATTCTTTTTTATAATTTTTTTCATCAAATTTCTAAAGTGAACACTCCAGACTATAACCGTTGAAAGGTTAAGGATTAATTTCAAAAATTCTCCCTGAACTATGATCCCTGTAACACTTTGTCCTCCGAATTTCAAAACGTAACATCCGCTCT